TGATAATTTATTTGGGCTAATTATTTTTACTGTTATATATAATTTTATTTGACACATCTTTAGTTTCATGACCATGCTTTTATTTCCAACTGTTTGCTTTCATTTACTAGCATTTTATACATCCTAAGGCTTCATCTGTCTTTGATTTCCAGTAAACTGTGTACTTTCTGCCGAACAAGCAGTAAATGATTTTCTACTAAAATATGTTGGATTGGTAGGAATACATGATAAGGGTGGATCATTGGATTTTCACATTTGGTATTTTATGTCTTAAAGAAACTTGTGAATTTGTTAATCAATTTTTATGTTAAATCAGTATTGAATAAGCATTAGCCTCAGTAGAACTTAAAGCCAATAGAATCTTAAGATGACTTTTTAAAAAAAGTTAGATTATAATAAAAGGCAAATTGATTAATCTTTCTTCCAAAATCTTTGCAGCCCTCTGTCCACTTCCCATCTACTCCCTGCTCCCATAGACAAGTTGTATTCTTTATTGTGATTTGAAAAGGACTAAACACAATGGCTAGATCAGTGCTATTTAAGAGCTATATCTTATCTGCATCATGTCTACCTTTGTTTAAGCAGTATTACTTCTCACAGATGTTATGGCAATTGTCCTTTCTCCTGAAACTGCCCTCCTCATCCGTTCCCTAGCCTGAGCCTAAGGTCATCTTTCTAAAGTACAAATTTAATTATTTCTCTCTTTAGCTTAAATTTTCCGATGGTCCCTAGTACAATGGTTACCTCTTGTTCTGGCCATCCAGAACTACTTCTTTATTCATGAAAATTAAGTGGGCTTCTTAAATTTAATGTTAGAGGGAGAATATGCTAGTTCTTCCTGGTGAGTGGAAGCTAAAAGACAAGCTCGAGAGCTGTCAGTGGTCATGTTGTTCACCATGTGCAGGAACCCGGTCAACAATGGGAAGGAATGAAGCCAGCCCCTAGGGAGAAGTAGAGATGAGAGATAGGGAACAATGTACTGGGGGTATTTGAAGCCCTGATTCAAGTTGTCCCTAATCCCTTTGGCTGTACCCTGGTCCTTCTAGAAGCTGGTTGTTCCTCCCTTCCTTGCATCACACAAAATACCCCAGGACATTCCTATGAAGTCCCCACTTTCACGTAAGCTAGTTAGAAATAGATTTTTGTCACTTGCAAACAAGGGGTCTAAATGAGAATAGCCTGTAAGGCCCTTCATGATATGGCCCCAAGCTTCTCAATTCCATCTTCCTATAACCCTTAGGAAGATACTCAGCTGCAAGTAACAGAACACAGACAAATAGATTTAAATAATAGAGGCATTTCATTCTGTTACATACCAAGAAGTGCAGACAGACATGGTTCCAGTGATGGTTTATCAGTTACACTACATGATAATGCCTTAGTCAGCTCTGCAGTTCTTTGGGTCTTTTCCCTCATCAAGGAAGGAAGCAGCTCCAGAGAGTCTTTAAGACCTTGGTGAGCATTCCAGACAGGGAAGAAGGGGGCAACAGCCTTCTCCTAAGGAGGGTCTGTTTTTAGACAGAACTGGGTCAATGCCCAACACCAGACTCATGATTGTGAAGTGAGAATTACTTTGACTCATGCCTGAGCTGTCCTTAATTCAATGGATCTGTGCCAATTATCTGAGATTCAGTTAGCAGAGAAAGTGGAACTGTAATGGAGCCAAGGAACCCTGTCTACCATACATATGTTTCCACTACCCTCCCTGTCCTTCCACTAGCACTGTTACTACCACCACCCCAATTCTAAGAGCCAGCCTTATGAAACTGCCTTCAAGGACCCAAACATACTGTGCTTTCTGTGGTTTCTTTGGCCTCTGGGGGCCTTTGCACATAACTTTTGCTCTGCTCAGAACACACTCTTTTTCCTTAATTTGTAGCATCTTGGTCTTTGTGGCTCCTTTTCCCTCTAGGCCTTGGCTTAGATTTCACTTTTTGTGGAAGGTCTTCCCTGACCCCCAATTTCACAGCACCCTTTATTAGTCCTGTCTTAGGACCTCTTAGACTGTCTGGTAATTTTCTACTTATTTATATCTTCTACTAGACCGTAAACTTTTTTTTTTTTTTTTTTTTTTGAGAGAGAGACAGAGCACGAGTGGGGGACGGGGGGAGGAGAGGAAGAGAGAAAATCTGAAGCAGGCAGACTCGATCTCCGGACTCTGAGATCATGACGTGAGCCAAAATCAAGTCAGATGCTAACAGACTGAGCCATCCAGGCGCCCCTACACTATAAACTTTTTGATAGCTTATTGACTGGACCTTACTTCTCTATGGCCTCACATAGAGCCTGCACATAGTATGTGATCACTAAATACTTGTAGAAGGAAATGAAGTGGAGCATTTTTTGAGTGCACTCAAATCAATTTGTGTTAAAATTGCTTTAAAAAGACTCATAAGAACCTCGGTGTTAATTTACTTATGATTTTTTGTTAAAGGGAATAGACAAAAGAGTGATTTGTTTAAAAAATTCCTGATAGACATTTACATTTAAAAGTCTTGTGCGTGATGGCTTCCAAAGAGCACGGCAAAGGATAATTTCCCACTTAGGCAGGGCAATATTCATTCTGTTTGTCTCACATAAGAGCTAAAGATTCTAAGAGCTTTTGAACAGTCCTTACATATTTTCTCAAATGGGCAGATTTCTGCATATGGATTCACAACATAGAAACTAAATGTAGCTAAGTGATGAACTTACTTCCTTAAATTTTATAAGGTGCTATTTACTCTGCAACTTCTTGCTACCATTTTATTATGAAAAAGCAAAGTGACATATGACAAGACACTTTCAATCCTTTTTGTAAGTAGATGAAGTTTGAATAAGGAAGGAATTAAATGAAGAGAAAAATAGCCACATTTGATTAATATAACAGAGCAGAGCTTTGAAATTTTAGCACTTTGAAGTTAAACATTGAGTTTGTAATTAATGTGAGGTAATGAAATATTCATTTACAAATTTCTGCAGAGAATTCGCCAGGCACAATGAGTTGGGTCCTCTTTCGATTTTAGACATAGTGTGGCCACACTGGCCTTTTCCTGGGTGGCCACTCAAAAGCTGCCAGTTTGGAGTGGGACCCAATGTGCGAGGGGGCTTTCCAGTTAGCTCAGGCTGCAAGTGTGTGAACTAGCAGATCCAGTGCTGCTGGAAAGGTCTGTGGCCCAGCCAAAAGATATATGGAGTCTGTGACAAGCCCCAGAAAGACCATCAGAAAGGAGACCCTTTGTGTTTGGGAAAATGCAAAGGCTTCTTCAGCAGATGACTCTTGGCTTGTGGCTAGGCTCGTGTAGAGACTGAATCATTCCACCATCTGGCGTAACACAGCCATGGTACCTTGATGTCTGACATGAAATGGTATTGTCTCAGACACTTAGCCATAAAGCCAGCCATCCCCAGCAGTACTCCACCTCAAGTGGATTGAGAAAGAAGAGAACCCCGTGAGGCGGAGCCTGTGAGAAGCCTGAAGACACAGGCAGGCAGTTGTACTCCTATGTCACTTTCTTCCATAAGTCTCATGGGGGAGTTTCCTATGCCTAGTGGATCAGGGACAGAGTGACTTGAGCCTGCTGTACAGATGGTTTTGCATGATGTGCTGGCACCCGACAGATGAGAGGAAGTGCTTCTGCTCTTCTGGGTGGCCCTGCACTGTAAGTGAGAAGGAAAATGCTTACCATCATTAAATTTTGAGCAGAAATTTTATTGTTCACTTTGCTTTGAAGGAAACATTTTATTGTCTACTTTACCTGACGTCAGGATCTATACTAATTCTTAAGCTAATTATTTGGCACAAAGGTAACTTCCAAAATCTGTAACAAGTAAGGCAGTTGGAATCTAGCACTGAAACTGGGGCTGAAGACCCCATGTTGTGCCAGGCATTTACCCTTTCATTGCTGGATTCTGGAGGGGTCAGAGTGACTCGGCCAGAGTGATTTGGGCAATGATGGATATACTGGGGCAGGAGGCTTTGGACAGAGCTTTTTTTAAAAGGCTGAGTGAGTACATACTGGGTTATTTTTAGTCCTGGTCTGACTAAATGGTTACGGACTTGGAAGGATCAAGACTGGAGAACTGATAGCAATGAGGTTTTAGGGAAGGGTGGATGGACCATTCAGAATGGGCCCAGAGTAAGAATACGTGTGTCCATGTGAATGCTCACTGAGAGGCATCATTGCAGACGTGGTTCTTAATACTAGGAGTACAAAAATGATTCCTTCTGTGGGAGTCAGTCATCCTCCTCCTCGAGCCAGTCTATTGGTTCATGGGCATAGAGCTGTGATGGCCAGATTGGAGGTGATGCTTGGACTCAGGAACGTAAATTTCCTTCCACCAAGATTGATCATACACTGTTAGCAACAGTGACTAGCCATATACTTCTAGGGGACCTGGTGTACTACCCTGCAGCAGATAAATTCTTTTGAGTTGGATATGCCCCTTCATCATGGAGGAGCAACAATTTATCATCACTGGAATAGTCTTTCTGGATTTGGATTTGCTTTTCCTGCTTACATGCCTTAAAAGCATCACAGGATTCCATACATAGTTTTTAATTGGTGAACTCACTGCACTGCCAAACAAGGCAGTAGGCTATTGACTGCCTGGCCCTGCTATATAAATATCCTGTCATCCCATTGAAGCTACACTTCATTGGAAGGATCTATTGGAAACTTAACCATGACAATATCTAAGAATTAGCACCTTGTGATATTGGTGTGCTAAGTTGTAGGATGTAGAACAGGAATGGAACCAGTGACCAATATATTTGATATTGTTTTCACAGCTGGACTGCAACCTAGGACTTGGGGGTGAAGACGTTTCTAATAATTACACCTACTCTTTCACTTTCAAAAATTTTGCTTTAACTCTTCAAAATTATTTAACTCTTTTAGCCTAAGTAATTCAGTACTCATTGGGAGAATGTTTCATCCAAGGGTTAAATAAAATGTAGGTTTTGTTGAATTGGGAGCTGAGACTTACCACCTGGGCATGTCGATTCTTTGTGCAATCAGGGTGAAGATCCTTGGCAAGCTGTGGTGTTGGCTGAAAGCCAGGAGAACTTGGAACAAGCAGAGGAAGAATCTATCTCATATGTCAGCAGCACTCCTGTGAATGCCTGCAGAATGGAGGACTGTAGCTTGCACCAGTATTTTGCTTGCTAAGTATTTATTCTCATGTTTCCTTTTAAAATGAGAATTATACTAATTATTTTTTTTCTTTTCTTGCCTCTTTCTTTTTTCCGGGGATATGTAATGTTATCCAGGTAATGGTTCAATTTATCATGTGGTTCATAGGCTGTAGAATACTGAAATGGGATTCTGACAGAATTCAAGAGGAATGGACATAAGCCAGAGGTCCTGGACTTGAAGGCCAGCATCTCCTTTCTGTGTGCAGTGGCTGGAAATAACTTTGGTTGTTCCCCACTGTGGTTGTGTGAGATTTGGTTGGATCATGTGTTTTGAGTTGTTGGGGTTTTTTTGGATATAGGGGAAAAAAGGACATGTGTGTGTGCGTGCATGTGTGTGCCCGTGTGTCTGTTGGACAGCCAAAGGGTGAATTGGAGCACATGGCTTTGGGGTTGTATGGTCGACAATGTGGCCCTGGAAGCAGATGATCCTCCTCCTGACATATGGCCAGAAGGTCAGTAGTGCCCCAACACTGCTGTGTCATGATGCCCACATCATTCACCTCACTTCATCTCTTCATGCAGGCATTTTATTCTCTCATATCATCACAGGAAGGGTGAGGACAGTACAATAAGGTATTTTGAGAGAGAGAGAGAGAGGCCACATTCACATAGCTTTTACTACAGTATATTGTTACAGTGGTTCTACTTTATTATTTATTGTTATTAATCTCTTACTGTGCCTAATGTATAAATTAAACTTTATCATAGGTATGTATAGGAAAAAACATAGTAGAGTTAGGGTTTGGTACTGTCCACAGTATCAGGCATCCACTGGGGGTCTTGGAATGTACCCCCTGTGGATAAGGGGGCTACTGTACATAGACCTGGAGTGATGGCAAAACAAATGGAAATACAGAAGCTGGACAAAGACCTGCAGTGCTAGCTTCCTCTTGTTTGTACAGTTTTACTGATCTCCCTGCCACGGGACAAAGATAGATGTGGTAGTGGATACAGGCCATAAAGAAACTTGCCAAATAAACACAATTTTATATTGGTGGCTTTGGGTATATTATTCAATAATGTCACTTCTTCCTGTTTATTTTCATTTACTGGCCTCATTGAAATCTTTCTCCTCATTGAAATCTAATACTCTGTATTATATATATTAATGCAGCAGTTCTCAAATTTCAGTAATCCTAACAATTACCTAAGGGGTGTTTGTTAAAATGCAGATCCTGCACCTGCCCCTCAAGGGTTTGAAGTTACTAGGTTTAAGGTAGGACCCAGGAAGCTCTACTGTTAATAAGAACCAGGATTTTCAAATGCATTTGGTCATTGGTTGAGTGACCATAAAAATTATTTTCTAAATCAGGACACTTCTGAGTGAAGTGAGTTGCTACTAATAATTACTCTGGAAGGACAGGTACAAATGAGCACAATCCCAGGTAATCCATGCATGGCCAGTCATCGATCACATTTGAGAAACACTGCTAAGTGAGATTAAATTAAAACTGATTGTGGTATAAATGTCTTTGTTATATATGACAAATTTTAAACTCGAGAAAAAAAAATAGATGGAAGTCTATTTATTTTTCAGATGGGGGACTACCTCCCTGCTGTACCCCAGAAAATTAATATAACCTTTGGTAGGCTTGTTTTGCCCAATGATTTTTGAGATAGTTCAAGTACTTTTAAATCACAAAAATTCTTTTTGTTTTCTCTTCCTCCTTCCCCTTTTATCCGTCCCTCCTTTCCCTCTCTACCTTCCTTCCCTCACCCATTTATTTATTAAATGAAATTGAATAATCCAGAGGACTGAGAAAGTCAGAGGCTGGGAGAACACAATCATGGGCCTTCATTCCTCGTACTCTCCATAAAATGCAGACACAGCCCAGGTCCTGGAACTGGTCTCATTTATTACTGTTCTAGACAGGTGTTGAGCCCAACATCATTAAAAATAAAACAGAACCAATAAGAAACCATGTATTTTATTTTAATGCTAGTTTAGCAGTTCAACCAGAAACACTTTAACCTTGAATGTTTAAAGGACTAGTTACTTCAAAGTCTTTTAAGTGATATTACACTGTAGATATGAAATTATGTCTCTTTTGTCTGGCATGATTGTCACTGTGTTTATAGTCACTCTTGTAGGTGAAGATAAGGTTTCAATTTGTTCTTTTCCATTTAATTTTGGGTTTGCATTGTAGGGAACAGATCAAGTATGTTGGAAAAGTAGGTATATGCTAGAGCGGAGGAAGGCATTAACTATTTCATGTGAGTAATAAAAAATGGCATTTGCTTCAGAAGTAAACTAGCAAATTACACTCGTGGTGACATGGACAAAGTAATGTACCTTTAAAGATCCCTGACCTTTTGAATTATTTGCCTCATAGAAAATGATCCCCCTCCCCAATTTTTAAAGTTAGGGGCCTTAGGGAGATTGGAGGAGGTTTATAATATTTACCTTTTCTCTCTTTTATCAAAAAGAAAAGGGATTTACATAGGCAGATAGTATCATTCTTTGATGTTTGTTGATGGTATATCATCTTATAGATGTTTTTAAAGACTTGGAACAACATGAAGCACTTTGATGGGGAGATACATATTTTTTAAATAAGTCATTTTTTTCTTTGACCTTTCATCTTTCATATACTAATTACTGTAAACACAATTTAAAAATTATAAGTTTAAATTCCTCATTTAGATTTAGCTCTCCTTAAGGAATTCAACAAGAAGCAAATGTCAACTCTAAATAAATCTTTCTGGTGCATCAGCTCTTCTGTGGTGTGTATACTTTCTATAAAATAAATGCTACTTTCAGCTTCTGTTAACCCACATTACGCCAGGAAATTTCCCAATGGCTCTTGTAGACATTTTCTCTCTCTGTAAACCTATTACTGTGAAACTAGTTCCTTCCTGACTTCCCATTATGTTCCTCTGTTATTATTGCATTATGACATTTATTGTGTTGGAATAATTTTATAAATTAATTTTTTTCTTCTTAATTTTTTCATGTTCTTGATTTTTTCAACTTATACAAGCATTTTTATTATTAATTCCTTTCCTTTCAAGAGGCATTCATACTTAAGTCAGGTTTATGCTGTTTGCAAAATTTAATTAAAATTTCCTCCTTTCTCAAGATATTAAATCTGTAATTGTTCTTGGATTTTAATATTTCTATTCAGATCAATAATGGAGAATGTAATATTCACACATTGGTCTAAAAGATTTTCCTCTACTTTTCTATCTTTCCAGCAGCTACTTGAACATTATTATCTTACCATCTTCAGGATTCCCGAGTGTAAAAACATGTTCTATCTCCTGTATGTTAAGAAAGTTATTCTATAGTTCTTTGCATATGTACTTATATATCCCATATTTGTGTTGTCTTCTCCTTGTCCATTCATTCAGCCAGACATTTACTGAGCACCCATCATAGGTCAGACATTGTGTTAGGCTATGTTTATTTGTATTGTTTCTTTCCAGTTGCAATTTTTTTATTTATAGTTCTAACGTCGCATACAGAAGGTATGCTTAAAACAAATTCTCTCACTCTAATTTAAACTTATTCTCTTATATAGTTGATTGTAGTGTATTTATAGATCTAAGAGACAGGACTACTGAATAAATGTACTAGTAATTCTGATAATTCTAAAACTTCCCAGTGAAATCATCTATCTGTATAGTCTTACGCATGTATAAAATTTTGAGAGCTGCAAAAAAATTTACAGAAAACTTGATGAATTTTATTGGCCTGTAATTGTATTTAAAATGGCAAATTAAGTACAGGTGAATATAAGCTGTAACTTAATATCATTTATTATGTACCAACTTGGTCAGATCAATAATTTCAGCTAGTGTAAGAAAGCTAGATACATGAAAAATTCCTGGCAGTCACGTTAAAATTATTCCATTCACTAAAAGTTCACCTTTTGCAAATAAAGTTTTATTTCTGGATCTTTATAGATTACTCTATGAGGAAAGAATCACGAGAAATAGGAAATAAACTTAAAATGGGCATTTTGCTCAGATGATTTAATTAATTGGAAGCTACTGCTATTAGCTAGTTCTGTTTAGCTAGGATCAGCTGAGCAGAAAAGATCCTGGATAGAGCAACTATAAAAACACCAGCATCCTACAACAGCTATGAGAGGAATTCTTGACCTTGCCCACTGCTGCCCTCAGTGTCCACGTTTGCCTGATTGGACCCAGTCCTGACTAGCATTTTATGAGTTGTGATATTGTGATTTGTAATAAGAAATATGTATTTGGTCTTTGTCCCCATTTCTGGCACAGGGCTCCTAAAATCCTCGTGGTTTCCTAAAAGATAACAATAAAGGTGTCTTTTGTTATGTAAATGAGGTGACTTTTCAAAGTACCGGAGGATGGGGCTGGTTGCCAGGAAACCAACTCTGTGATTAGAGGGTTGGAACTTTCAGTCCCATCCCCAACCTCCAGGGAGGGGAGAGGGACTGGGGTTGGATCAATCATCAATGGCCAATGATTACACCAATCAGTCCTGTGTAAGGAAGCCTCTATAAATATCCAAAAATCCGATAGGGTTGGGAGAACCTCTGGGCTGGTGAACACATGAAGATTTCGGGCAGGCAGTGCCTTAGGAGAGAGCATGGAAGCTCCGTGCCCTTTCCCCTTACCTTGTGCTATACATCTCTCCCATCTGGCTGTTCCCGAGTTATATCCTTTTATAGTAAGCCAGTAATCTAGTAAGTAAAATATTTCTCCGAGTTCTGCAAACTGCTCCAGCAAATGAATTGAACCCAAGGAGGGGGCTGTTGGAACCTATGATTTATAGGCAGTCTGGTCACAGCCTGGACTTGGTGACTGGCATAGAAGTTGGAGGGGCAGGGCAATCTTGTGGGACTGAGCCATTAACCTGTGGGATCTGGGGGCGCCTGGGTAGCTCAGATGGTTGAGCGTCTGCCTTGGGCTCAGGTCATGGTCTCGGGGTCCTGGGATCGAGCCCCGCATCGGGCTCCCTGCTTGGCGGGGAGCCTGCTTCTCCCTTTCCCTCTCCTGCTCCCCCTGCTTGTGCTCCCTCACTCTCTCTGTCAAATAAATAAATAAAATCTTAAAAAAAAAAAAAAAAACAAACCTGTGGGATCCGATGCTGTCTCCAGGGAGTATCAGGATTGAGTTAAGTTGTAGGACACCCAGCTGGTGCCCTGAGCAATGCTTGGTGGTCAGAACTGGTCTCAGAACCAGATTAGACGCATATTTAAGAGTGTCATTTATAGGTACTCCTGAGAAGTTAGTATTTGCAGGTGCAAGATAACTCCTCCAGTGACCTAAAGATGAACTGGTTTGATGAGGTATGAACTAAATGTTACAGAGAAAAGCTGTCAATTAATGGTGGATGCTGGACCTAATATGTCAAATGTTGTTGAGAACTGAAGTCTCCATTTAGACTATTGTAATTTGGTGTTAGAGGAGTGTCTGCTTGACTCAGCAGAGGAAGCCAATTGAGGGGGGGCGGGGGGTGGGGGGGGAGATTGGGAGTGGGTTGTGGGTAAAAGAATGGAGGTGATTAGCAAGACAATACGGTGTGTGTGTGTGTGTGTGTCTGTCTGTCTGTCTGTCTGTAAGGGGGTGGTGAGAGACAAAGAGACGGAATGAGGGAATGTTTATAGCCTATCATAGCTGACTTGGTTTTTGCCCTTCCTGAGGGCTTATTATTTAGCTTTTCCCCTTGAGAACCTCCCATTTCCCCTTGTTTTAATTTTAGCGACTTTCTGTGAATTCAGGAGACCCTAACCTTGATCATTACTTCTGACACTACATGAAGGGAAATTTAATCTCTGTCCCTCTTACATGCCAGCCTCAACCACAGAAAAGGGGATTATAGCATTTTTTTCTTCACGAGGGGAGACACTGGGGAGACAGCTTTTTTGACTTCTAAACGCTTGCTCAGTTTTCTGTCCCTAAGGGTCAAATGGCTACTCTGATTGGTTAGGCTCTCTTACTGATTAAGCCCCATTTTTACTACTGGGCAGTGTCTCTATGTGGAAGGCCACAGTCATATTTGGTGTGTGTTGTTTTGCTCTCCCGTCTGCTTTCTCAATCCATGTTCTGGCACTGTAAGAGAGCCAGAGCCTTTTCCCCAATGTGAGAAGTAGCCCAGCCATGTTCCCACTGCATTCTCGTTACTCAGAATGGCAGTCTGACAGGCTGCTGGCCCATAAGCTAGCAAGGAACAAGACAGCTTGACGTTGGGCAAGGGGACGGTGTGTTCTTCCTTGTCAGACCTGGGACTTCCTTTACCCTGGTCCTGCAGAAGGGTTTTGTACTGCTTTCTTCTCTCATCACACTGTAATAACCCCCCTCTGATATCAGAAGTAAAAGAGATGGTAGTTTCGTGTGGAAGAAAATTACTTAGGGCTTCTGGCCTAAGCTGTGTCCTCCATTCTAGTTTTCTTTTTTTTTTTTTTAAAGATTTTATTTATTTATTTGAGACAGAGAGAATGAGAGAGAGAGAGCACATGAGAGGGGGCAGGGTCAGAGGCAGAAGCAGGCTCCCTGCCGAGCAGGGAGCCGATGCGGGACTCGATCCAGGGACTCGATCCAGGGACTCGATCCAGGGACTCCAGAATCATGACCTGAGCCGAAGGCAGTCGCTTAACCAACTGAGCCACCCAGGCGCCCCTCATTCTAGTTTTCTTAAGAGTTGTAGCACAGGGTATCAGCTGCTTGCCTGGATTTACCAAGCTGCACTTGTCCGTTTACTGTCTGGGTGGGAAATACCGAAGTAAGGGGCAGAGGAGTGGTTTCTGGGCCTCACAGCTTTCATTTCATTATTTCAAATAGAATTTAAATGATATTAATAATTATTTTAGTCTTTTATATGTTGGATCTCTTGTTTTAATAATGTAAAAAACTATCATTAACTTTTACTGGGCCCTTTTTATAAAGTCTATTTTATTAGTTTAATTTCTATTAGAGGGAAAACATACAATACACACACAAGGTCACAATTTTTAAATCTTGGGATATAGGGATGTCTAAACAAATTCTAGGTCAGTTCAGTCTCCTTCATTAAGCAAATATTTACAGAATCCCTGCTCTGAGCCAGGCAGAGTGCTGGGGATGCAGGATGACTCACCTGAATCATGAGCAAGGATGTAGCCTTATTTAGGCTAGACTGAAGGTTTGCAGTGCTTTATGGAATCACTTTAAATCCCTGTTGCCAGCTAAATGGGATGAAATACAATTCTGAGCATTGTTTAAACATTTGATAGTCTGTTTCAGCGTGCTTATTTCCTAAAACCCAGAGATGTGGCACAATTCAAAAGAACCTCCAGGCTCTGCTTCTGCATCCCTCCCAAGGGGCTCCTCACTTTCCTGCTTGGTCGGATCTCTTGCCAGTCACTATTCCGATAGAAAGATCCATCTTCTGTTGGTAGTCTACAACTCTTGTCTAAATTGGGTTTTATCTTTGTGGTCACCAGTGTTCCCA